ATTAATCATTTGACAGCACTAATATATATATATATATATATATATATATATTACATGAAAAAGTTAAACAAAAAAAAAATTTCAATGTTGCCTTGGCAACGAACTGAAATTAATTTAAGTTGCACTAAAAATATAAATAAACAAACATACTAAAACTGAATGAAAACTGAAATAAAAAAATTCAACCTAAATAATAAATAATAGAATTACAATAATAGAAGGAAAAGGGACACAAAAACTAATAAAAAAAACCTAATAAAAATAAAAAAACAACGTAACAAAACTACTAAAAATTAAACAAAAATGTTTAATATTACTGAAAAGCTAATTTAAAATATTAATAAAAAATAAAATAGTATATCAAAAAATACAAAAATAACACTGGTCCTGACACAAAATGAATATATGACAAAACACACCTAAATTTACATATATATATCAACCCACACTCACAACTCACCTGGTCAATGCCGCTTCCACGACACTGTAATATAATGACCTCTAGAAGTTTGGCAGCATGGCATTCTGGGTCTTCCCCAGCATCACTAGTTAGGACCTGGGGGTGAGAGGTCAAAAGGTCAAATGTCAAATGCATATGGAAGAATGACAAAAAATGCATTTTAAATTGAAAAATTTCATAGAGGAAATGCATATTAAGACCTTTTTGCACATGGTGTAAATGACCTCCAGGTATTTGGGGTCTGACAGCAGCATATTTGTGTCCACGGTAACATAATTGTGCAAGAGGGGCATCATATCTGCATCAACAGGGTAATATATCACATCTTTAACCATGTACTCAATATCGCCTCAATCATTTTCAAAAGACTCTCATAAACACGCACATCCATGAACTTAATGACTCTTTCAACCTAGTTCAATCATGACATGATTTATAGCTTAAGGTGGAGCAGAGAGATCAAGTCTGAGCTTGGCGCTCGGCTGCGTTTTACGCCACAGGTGAGGTATCTGAGCTACATGTGTGTCTGAGACCTGTGAAGTAGTCAAAGCAGTCATGCTGGAAGACGTCGTACAGGACCCCCAACAGCTGCCACATCTGAGGGGAGATGGAATAACAGGTGAGTCCAAACGCCAGCGACAAGATCTCCTCATAAAACTCTGAAAAAGACAGAGAGAATGTGATTGATCGCTCCTGAAACAGAGACAGGATGTTTTGAGGACAATCAAAGATCGCTAAACGATATATACATTACATATTTAAAAAGTATTGATATTGAAATTTTCCTTCCAAGCTCCACCATGTGGTCAAATGTTGCAATTTTTTGTAAGAGGCGTTCAAACTGACAGATTAAATCGCTGGAGTTTGACAAGCAACTACAGTATGTAACTGCATCTCTGCTGTCTTCACTCCCATTGGTAGTTGGATGGTAGTTCATCTCATTGCTATAATTGCATAAACTCACACAAAGTTCACATTTTCGCCAACTCTGATTGAAAACTTTGCTGTGTTACTGCAAATCGGTATCAGTGTGAACGCATCTTTATGGGGATGTCTTTAAAATTATTTAACGTAATTTATGACATAAAACAATTATTATTACTGAAAAAATCCATGATAAATAATCTCGAACTGGAAAATAGCGTCACACACACACCTGCCATACCTATGATGGGTTTCTGGAGGACGAGACCAATCACCTGCAGGCATATTACCTCCAGCTGTTGACTGATCTAAGATTGATAGAAATAGAGAAAGAGAGAGAGAGAGAGGGGAAATATATCAACCTTATTTCTGTTTTCAGAAACATCACAACATGTTCAAACAAATCTTGATGCAATTTAAAGAGACCGTTCACCCAAACATGATCATTCTGATCAGCCCAATTTGTGAACAAATCATTCAGACCAGTTTTGTGAACCGGATAAACGTATTCATTTAAAAGATATCGGTCAAAAGAACAACTGGATCATGAATCTGGCATTTCAGTCCATTCCTTGTACAAAGTTAGTGTATGACTTCAAAAAACTTGGAATATGATGCAAAGAATGCATGAAGCCTATTTTGAATAGTACCTCATTCACTTTCACTATAAGAAAACAAGCAGACAGAATATTTTTCATATAAATATTATATTTGTATGTAATAATATATGACTTTTGTATAATTCTGAAATATGTGCAACAATTTTATATAACATTTTTTTCCACTAAAAATGATTCCAATGCAGAACTCTGAATTTTTTTGAATACTTAAGTAAAAATAAAATAAAATAAAATAAAATTTGAAATGTTTTTGCAAGCTGATATACGAGTAATGAACATTATCATTTAAAAGTTTGGGGCCGATAAGATTTTTTTATTATTTTTGAAAGAAGTCTCTTATGCTCATCAAGGCTGCATTTATTTGATAAAAAATACAGTAAAAACAATAATATTGTGAAATATTATTACAATTTAAACTAACTGTTTTCTACATTTTAAAATGTCATTTATTTCTGTAAAGGCAAAATTGAATTTTCAGCATCATTACTCCAGTCTTCAGTGTCACATGATCCTTCAGAAATCATTCTAATAACAGCATTTATTTGAAATAGTAACATTATAAATGTTATAAATGCCTTTGCTGTCACTTCCGACTAATTAAATACATTGATCAATCCACGCTGAATAAAAGTATTCATTTATTTCCCAAAAATATCGGAAAAAACAGTAGCGTATTCTTCTCATGCTAAAAATTCATGAAAAAGGCCTTAAGCACGTGTCCAAACCTCTTTTCGGTCCCCCATGACTGTGAGGATGGTGTCTATGGTGCTGAGGATACCCAGAGCCATCACGGTCTTATCTTCACTTTCCTCGTATTCTTCACTCTGGAGAATCTTGCTGCAGATCTCCGCCTGTGCACAACAACCTCTTTTAGCATGAAACCCTGTAATTACTTAATGCTAAACTGATAAAGCGAGTGCAGTACCAGGTTCTGTGTCATATCCACCGCCATGACGGCCACTTCCTCGCTGTATTCACAGATCATCTTCTGAATGACACCGGTAAGGTCATCGTTCTCGGTTTCTTTGATGATGTGCAGCAGCTCCTGCATCACAGGCTTGATGAAGGGTCGCATGTAGACCTTAGCTGCACTCAAACAATACACAAAAGGTGGAAAGAGGGAAGAATTATGTAAGTACTGGACGGGCAGACAGCAGACTTGCATTTAAATAGGTTAATCCACTTATCTCTTAAACCAATTACAGAGAGTAAACCAATTTAATTTAGTAAAACTAATTTGATGCTTAATAAGTGCATTAGTGCTCTGCTGCATTTTGTTCTCAAATGAAAGTAGACGTATTTACTGTATTTTCATTATGATTTTGGTTTGACAAAGCCGACATATTTTTATTTATTGAAGCTTCTTTTATTTCATTTAAGCCGCTGACTTGCATTTTATGAATCACCAGCAAAAAACCTTCTTTACTGTTTTACTGAAGAAAAAAGTCGCCTACATCTCGGATGGCCTGAGGGTGAGTAAATTAACAGCAAATTGTCATTTTTGGGTGAACTATCCATTTAAAGTGTGTGTCTGTGTGTGGCATCAACCCTTGTTCCTGGTTCCTGACCAGCATCTGCAGTGCAATGGCTGCCTCCACTTTGACCGGCATCTCCTTGTCATCCACCAGGTTCTGTTTGACCAGCTCCACAGCGTTCCTCAGGACCAGCTCGTTATGGAACTTCAGAGGACTGAACGAGTGCAGCACCCAGCACGACTGCACACACACCGCAGAGAGACCAGAATTACGGCTCCATGGAAACCAGTGTTGCTTTGAAAGACTCTTGACAGATGCAGTTTTGATAGCTAAAGCACTGGGCAAAACATACTCTGAAATTCAATAGTCGTGGGTTGTTTGAGTGACCAGTTGGTCATGTCCACCAGAAATGGGCAATGAGCACAGACCATTAATAGGGTAAATGATACGATAGTAGACAAATAACCACGCTACTTAACAACTTCAATTGCACAAAACTATTAAGAGTTCTCATAAAAAAGCAAAACAAAACAAAACAAGACAGGAGCATTTCTCACAGCAGGCAATTTGAAATTTGACAATAATTGTCTTGAAATTTATTGTTGGAGATTTTGTTAAGAATGCGGTGCTTTGATGTCTGTAACGGCGCCAATTTAGAGGGTTGAATTTATGAACACAATTTCTCTGAGATGGTTTTTATCATGCTGACAGTTAGTCTTATGGTTAGTTATCATGCCAAAACCCTCTCTGAGAAGATCTTTAAAGTTTTCAATTCAATTCAAATTCAAAATTCAATTCAAATTTATTTGTATAGCGCTTTTCACAATACACATTGTTTCAAAGCAGCTTTGTTTTTTAAAAATAAATAAGTATTAAAATACGAAATAAATATATACATTAAAAAAATTTAATAAATAGATAATTCATTTAAAAAATAAATAAATACAATTTTCTTTTTAGTTTTATAAGTCAATAATATACGAAAAAAATTATATTTTTGAGCAAAATTCTGAACTGACCATTTTCCTGTTTCAACTGAATTTCCCAGCTGGAATGTAATAATGCTATTGAGGTTTTTAATCAGAAACACTATTAAAACATCTCTCTTTTTACACTCTCTCATATTCATAAATTGGACAATATGTGAAATAGTGCAATGACACTGTCAGAGAACTTAATGGCCAAATAATCAGAATAAGCAAGCTTTACAAAGCAACAAGGAGAAAAAAAAATATTAACCAAGCACACTGACTGAATTTCAAGCGGATGTACTCATACGGATCTTCCTGCCATAGTCTTTCATCTTCATCTTTATAGCACATCAGAGGAAACACCACCTCCTGAGTTATAGGCTGCAGAGACAGAGATATTAAGCTGCATGAAAGTCATCATTTATATGAAGTCATGTGATGCTGGTTCCCACCTGCACGTGCGGTTTCATCTGTTTCCATGTGAGCGAGTGCGAGACGCCCTGAGTCATGTAGCTCAGAGCCTGCTGGAGGACGCGAGGACTCACGTACTGCCTCTGCCTGTGCTGGTCGATCACTTTTAACAAGACCTGCAGGAAAAAACAGGATCAGCAATCATCATACATCACTGTACCATGGTACCAAAATTATATGGTTTTTAAATGCCATTAGATTTTTGATTTGTTTTTTTTACAATACAAATGCTGTTCATACCTGCTGGATTCCTACAGCATAAGTCTTCAAGAAAAAGTCAGCAAACTCAACATATTCTTTTGTTACATTTCCTGGACTGCCATATCTGAGAATAGAAAATCAGCACAAATCAATTAATAATATAATATAATATAATATAATTCCAAGTTATTGTCTACATTACAATTTAGAGTGATCTGTTATCAGAAGTGAATGTATCCAAGTAATGTTCATTTAACAAATGAACAGTTCAAGGTAATAGAATCATACAATTTTAATTAAGAAAACTTTAAATGTAAAGAAAAACTCAATAACTGACTAGTCTGTTGTTAAGATGATTAGTTGACCATCCTGACCAATCCTATTGTAAAACTACTAAAAACATTTTTGTTAATTGAAATAAAATACATACAATAAAAAATAAAATATAAATATTAAATGGAATAAATTAAACGAAAATTAGAAATCTTAACTGAAATAAGTTTAAGTACTAACATTATCAAATGAAATAAAACTAAAACTGAAATAAAAATAAAAAACAATAAAAATGTCAAAAGCACATAATAAATTTACTAAAAAAAAATAAAAAAAATTAAAATAAACTAAAAATAAAGAATATATTTGAAAAATAAATCTAATAGTAATAAAACTAATAATAGCATATAAATAATATAAAAAAAACACTGATGCCTACTAAATAGTTACAGTGGCATTTAATAATTTCATCTGGCAGTTAAACGGTTGGCAGTAAACACTCACTCACCCGGGCCCTTAAGTAGCCAAGATTAGAGTTGAGCAGAGGAAACACATCGTTTTGTAACATGAGCTCCATCTGGTCCCTGTACACCCGCTTCTGCAGAAAGACAAGGACAAGCAGGAACACTAATGCAGAAAGCTCGTAATTAAATTGGGAACACAGAGAAGATCTTGCTTATTGAATCTAACCTTTAGCAAGGGTTGAGCCAAGGCACCGATCACATGCAGTGCCCCATCCTTCCTGCGGGGGTCAGTGTTAGGATCCATGAGGATCTGATGGCAAAACTCCATCATATGTGGCAAGACCTGAGAAGGACATGGAAAGGATGAGAGCACGAACCCACAGGCGATGATAGAACCCATTTACCCTAAAAATGTGAAATTAAATCATATGTGAATGTGTGACCTCTGTTCATTTTTGCAGAAAACAGCACCTGCAATGAAATACTTGAGGTTATTTCACACTGAATCCTTCCCTTGAACAGTGCTTCCCTCCAGTATCTCTAGCAAGTAATTCTGATCAGATCTAAAGGCGTTTCGTGGAAAGTCTGGGGTGCTTCTTTGGAATGTGAATGTAAATAAGAGCTCTGGAGTTAAAGAGCGGTCTGAGGGTGGACTCACCTCCTTCCTCTTCCTGGCTGCAGTACATAACAGAGTCTGAGCAGCCGTGGCAGGGGACACATGATCATCATACATATCTACAGCAGAACACACACAAGGAACCACACAGATCAGTTAACCATATCATTACGCAATCTATACCTGAATTCACTGACAGAAAATTAACCTGCTTGCAAGCAGGCAGTTCTCAATATTTTTCAGCCTCGACTGAAATACATCAGAAAAACTATAATCAACCAAACAGCCATTGTAGTCAACCATATTGAAAATGCTCAATGCATAAATTAAAACTGTTAAAGTCTAGTAATATTAAAAATAAATAAGCTATTTTAATAAAATAAATCAGATTTTGAATTAAAAAAAAATATATATATAGTAAATAAATAATAATTAATATATTCATTTAAAAATATTTTAATACATTATTAAAATAACTACGTTTTTATTTTGTACATCATTTTAATACATTAAAAACTTACATGAGGAAACACCACCTCCTGAGTTATAGGCTGCAGAGACAGAGATATTAAGCTGCATGAAAGTCATCATTTATATGAAGTCATGTGATGCTGGTTCCCACCTGCACGTGCGGTTTCATCTGTTTCCATGTGAGCGAGTGCGAGACGCCCTGAGTCATGTAGCTCAGAGCCTGCTGGAGGACGCGAGGACTCACGTACTGCCTCTGCCTGTGCTGGTCGATCACTTTTAACAAGACCTGCAGGAAAAAACAGGATCAGCAATCATCATACATCACTGTACCATGGTACCAAAATTATATGGTTTTTAAATGCCATTAGATTTTTGATTTGTTTTTTTTACAATACAAATGCTGTTCATACCTGCTGGATTCCTACAGCATAAGTCTTCAAGAAAAAGTCAGCAAACTCAACATATTCTTTTGTTACATTTCCTGGACTGCCATATCTGAGAATAGAAAATCAGCACAAATCAATTAATAATATAATATAATATAATATAATTCCAAGTTATTTTGATCAAAATATACAAAATATAATATAATAAATATACAAATATATAATTTATAATATATGTATATTTACAAATATATATATATAAAATAATATAATATAAAAATTCAAAATTATTGTGATCAAAATATACAAAATAATACACAAAAATACACAATATTCCAAGTCATTGTGATAAAAAATTATGTAATTAATTATACAAAATATACAATTAATGTACAAAATATAATATAATATAATTCCAAGTTATTGTGATCAAAATATACCTCTAATATACAAAATATAATACACAAAAATACACAATATTCCATAATATAATATAATTAATATAATATTCCAAGTTATTGAGGTTAAAAAATGACTGTAAATAATCATAGAAAATATACAATTAATATATAAGAAAAATAATATAATCAAGTTATTGACATTAAAATAATAATTGCTGGGTACTGCTCGGTTTTTAAGTCTGCCATTGTGCAAAGTGAATTTCCTATTAGGGGATCAATAAAGTTCTTTCTATTTTAAGTGACCACAAATGATGCTTGTGGTCTGGCTTGTTTAATCACCTCTCAAACATTCTCGTGATGATGTGCAGAGCCCATTTCTTGCATTTCCACCAGATCAGTTCTGGTCGATCGTCCTCGTCAGCTTCCAGAGTTTCCTGAAAATCATTCAGCTTCGAGTCATGGAATCATATTTACCGATAAGATCTTAACTGTGAGGAAAAATGCTTCCCAAACGTACTGCTGGGACGTCCCGATCCACAACTGTCCGCAGGATCTCCATCCAGTGGGTCATGATGGTGTTATTGATCAGCTGTAGTGGAAGGGAATACTGCAGATGCAAACACAAACTGGGGCTTAGCAGTTAGCACTTGGGAATAACCTGGTAAACAAATTAAACAAATGCTCACACACACCTGTACAAGTGCATGGAAAATCTTTAGGATTTGCTTCTGGATCAGAACTGAGATGAAGGTGGCATCAGACAGGAGTTGAGTGATGAGTTGCTGGATCCGTGGCAAGAAGATCTGCATTGCAGCCAACAGGGGGTCCCGCTCCTCAGCCTTCTTAAACCTGACCACCACAGAACCATAATGATCAACTTTCATACATATTTCAATTTACTCTTTCATAGACCTCTGATTTAAAGGAATAGTTCACCCAAGAATTAAAATTTTGGGGCAATTTGCTTAACTTCAGGCCAACCAAATGAGTTTGTTTCTTCATCAGAACAGATCTGGAGCATTACATCACTTGCTCACCAGTGGATGCTCTGCAGTGAATGGGTGCCGTCAGAATGAGAGTCCAAACAGTTGATAAAAACATCACAATAATACACAAGCAATCTACACGACTCCAGTCCATCAGTCCAAAGTCATGTGAACTTAAAAATCTGTGTATTTGTAATGAACAAATCCATCATTAAATCAAACTGTTGCTTCATGCTAAAATATGAGTCCTCTATCCATAATATTGCTTTGTCCAGTGAAAAAAAGTTGTCTCATCTGAATCAGGAGAGAAATATGCACACATCAAGCATCAAGAAAACACTTCATAACAAATATGTTGGTGGATTTTGAAGTTTGAGGACAACAGAGAATGGACTTTTTCCACTGGAGGAAGCATTATTATGGATTATGGACTCGTATTTTGACAGTTCATTTCTGAGTGAACTATTCCTTTAACCCCAATCTGATTTGAGGGTGACAATTATGACATGACTAAACTGTGAAATATCCTTAAGAGAAACAAAAATCTTGCGGTTCACTCACTCATAGTTTTTGACGAGTTGGTAAAGAGCGAGCAGACTCCCGTACCAGCTCCCACTGTTCTGTGACTGCAGATACAGATTAATTTTGTCCACTACGCCTGTCCACCGTCCAGGAAAGTCGTGTTTTATTATGGCACGCAAGCATACTGTCAACTGAGCCCTGCCAACCGACAAAAAAAAGTCATTTTCAAGCAATAACACCTGCAAAAATGCCGTAATTGCACAACTGACTCACCTTATGGACTCTGGACAGCGAATAACGGCCTCCACCATGTTTTCTCGGATCTGTCCGCGATCGTTCTCATGAATGTTGAAAGGAAACACCACCTCCCCCAGAGTGGGCTCTCGGTCCTGCCAGTACTGACTCACCATGTTCTTCAGGTAGATGGCAGCTAGAGGAAGAATATAATGACTAACGGTAAAGGAAAAGATCTCAATCCAGAATGATTCAACTGGGGTCATTCAGATTCAGAATCTCAGCTTGATTAATCAGTCATTTCTAAAGGTCTAAAAAGCATCAAAATACTGTAGGAAGAGAGAAACTCTCACCTGCCTGTCGCACAGGAAACTCCACCTGGTCCGACACAATGATCTGCAGCAGAGTTGGGGCGAAGTTGATGATCTTGTAAGACTGAAAAAAAAAATGAAATTCAAGAGACTGATGACTTTGATTTTTTGTAAACATTAGCAATCTGCGATCCTACATGGTTTATCTGGACTCAAGTGTCACTGTTCTCAGTGATTCTCAACTGGCTTTTCTTCAGGACCGAGATCAAGTGGCGACCCAATATAGCTCCAAAATTATTACATTATCACACAAAATTGTTGGTTTCATGCTACCTGTATCCAATAATTCAGAATTACTGAAATAGCTTATAGTGAGAAAATATCATTAAATCCTCTTCATAACAAATATAACAAACAACCGATTGGATGTCAAATGTAATGCAAAGAACTGAAATAATGAAACTAAGAACTGACTTTGTATAGAGCGCTTTGCACAGAGTGCAGATTGCACCGAATTGCATCAGTGGTCTGCAATGGTGATTTACATGCAGCAGAATCAGGACACAATTAAAAATGTCATATCGCAGTATAACACCTATAAACTCTGTAGTAGTGCACATTGCACATCATTCATTAGGGGTATTAGGTTTTTTATTTCTCTCTCTCTGGCATCAAGACTAAACCAGATCAGATCTTAGAATAAAGCACAGGTCACAGATATTATTTTAAATAGGCATTTGCCTCTGTTGTTGCACACTGATGCTTTGATGCAATGCAACTATTTTGCAACATTATACAAACAAAATCAACCATCCAAATAGTAAACAAAGATAAAATAGTGACTAATTAAACATTATCCTGCCTTATGCATTAAAATCAGGCCCTAACTTAGAATATTGACTGAAAGCATCTCTGCTCTTATGGTGTTTGTGTTTCCTAGAGAAACATCAAACTTCTCTAGATGGTTCACTGACCTGGTTGAGTTCATTCTCAGCCGCTAGCCTGAGATTCGGGTCTATGGTGCCCTTCAGAGCCTGTATGATTCGATTGGGATCCATTAGGCCCGATGCGATGGATTAATTTGAATAAATTTGGACTATCGGACAGATGCGCGGACGATCAGTTGTTCTCCGATCTTACAAGCAGCCCTGCCCCAGTCTGCCGGCGAGCGACTGTCAGCGTCGCAAACAACAAAGCCGAAGCGAAACGTTTACGGCAGAAGCTGGCATGACAACTGCTGCCCACGCGAAAAATTAAAGGGACGTTTTTTATTATGACTGTGATGTAAACATTTAAACTGCATCTAAATGGCGGCCTATTTAGAATTAAAATTGCACTTAAAATCGAAAAGTATATGCCACTATTCAGAATGTATATACATTTCTAACAGGTTTATAAATGTAAGTTTAATCTGAATAGTTTTGAATTATTGACTAATACAAATTGTTTTGACAGCTTTTTTATTTTGCTACTGAGTCTTTGCAATATAATAAGGTTTAATGAATAGATATAGAGATATAATAAATAGTTTATATTTAAAATCAAGTTTGAACTATTTGCGCATTTCTTGTATAGGATGCGCGTTTCGTATATAGACGTATTGTCTCCTTTGATGTGCCGTAGTGTTGTCATTGAAAAGTGTCATGGTGGCGTTTAGCACCAAGAATGTGCATTTTACCAGCAGAAAACCGTTTGAATCGCTTAATTTCGATGGTGTGATTAATTTTGGTCTTTTCCAGCGACCGCGACTGTCGGACACAACATAACGCGCGCATCAAACAGTTTAATAACGCTGTCGTGTGAATGTGCGGCAGCTGCAAGTGGAACTGCGCTGATTCTCACTGTCATCATGTGTGACACGCAGCGCGACGATGAGCTCCGGCCGGTTCCAAAAGAGCGAGCCGTGCTCGAGAGTTTCTTCACTCAGCTCGGGATGTTCTGGTTCGACAGGGCGAAGGATTATGTGGAGAAGGAGAAGGACGCCAGTAAGAGCGCGGGGGCCATCTGGGCGTCTCTGCTGGCCGCTCTCGCACACCTGGCAGCCGCGGAGAAAGCCTACCACAACATGACTTTCCTCGGGCAGAAACTAGGTGTGAGAGAAGCATTTCCAAATCTGCTGGTGCTACCGTGGAGGTATTTGGTAGCCCATTTCCTCCACACAAAAAAAAAAAATTATTAAATAAAAATTATGACATAAAAGTCAAAATTAGAAGTATGGATTACAGATATCGACACAAAATTCTGAGATAAAGTCAGAATTATAAGATATTAATTTTTAAGTTAAAATAACAATTATGAGATTAAGTCGAAATTTATATTAAACAATAAAATTGAGGTAAAACGTTGAAATTGACACAAAATATGAGATTTCAGGTCACAATTATGAGATAAAAAATAAACATTATGACTGTCAAAATTATGAGAAAGTAAACCTTGAGATACCAAGTCATAATTATGAAATCGAAAGTCGAAATTATGAGATAAAAGGTCATAATTTAAACATAAGAACTGACGTCAATTATGACAAGTCATAATTGACAGTCAAAATTAAGTCATAATTACAACAAAGCTATAAAGTTGACAAAACATTTGACATGTTATAATTGACATTTTTTCATAACATAATTGTAATTATATCATAATTTTTTTGTTGTATCAAATTTGATATTTAATGCCAATACATAATTACATCGTGATTTGTCATAATTATAACTTTTCACTTAATCACTTATAATGTTTCCATTTATCTCAAATTCCGCTTTTTGTCATGATTATTATGACTGTCATAATACATCATTTTAAATTTTTATGTGATTTGACATAATTATGACAGCATCTCATGAATTTTATATATTTTTTAATGTAAAACTTGATTAAATTTGACTTTGTGTAAAACTTGATTTACCAGAGCATGATTTTTTTCTTACGTGATGGAAATCAGCTTCCACAGGTATCAGATGGTAACACTTTCTGATTATGCATATCAGTAATTCAGTAACATATCATGGCAAGATGATGTTTTTGGACCTTTGCCAGGATAATACCATGCTTTTTTTTTAATGTGCCATAACAAGCCATAGAGAAAAAAATAGCATTACCCTACATGTACCATGGTAATGTCATGTTTCGAATATGCCAAAAACATGGTATTACCCTTGTCCAAGTCCGAAAAACACTGGATGGTACTGTTCATGTACCAAGCCAATGTAATGTATGTTATTTTTTGGACCCTGTGTGACAGGGTAGTATAATTGAAATACGGCAGATGGTTATAACTTTTCACTTAATCACTTATAATGTTTCCATTTATCTCAAATTCCGCTTTTTGTCATGATTATTATGACTGTCATAATACATCATTTTAAATATTTATGTGATTTGACATAATTATGACAGTATCTCATGAATTTTATATTTTTTAATGTAAAACTTGATTAAATTTGACTTTGTGTAAAACTTGATTTACCAGAGCATGATTTTTTTCTTACGTGATGGAAATCAGCTTCCACAGGTATCAGATGGTAACACTTTCTGATTATGCATATCAGTAATTCAGTAACATATCATGGCAAGATGATGTTTTTGGACCTTTGCCAGGATAATACCATGCTTTTTTTTTAATGTGCCATAACAAGCCATAGAGAAAAAAATAGCATTACCCTACATGTACCATGGTAATGTCATGTTTCGAATATGCCAAAAACATGGTATTACCCTTGTCCAAGTCCGAAAAACACTGGATGGTACTGTTCATGTACCAAGCCAATGTAATGTATGTTATTTTTTGGACCCTGTGTGACAGGGTAGTATAATTGAAATACGGCAGATGGTGCCATGTGGCCATACATAATGCATCTCCATCTGTGTGTTCTGTTATTGAATTAATATTCAAGCTGAACCGTGCCTCCTGCATTGTATTGTTTTAATGCCACCATATTAAAGTATGTGTATCATGCAGGTGGTCAGTCATTCTTCAGCCGCAAGGATTCCATCAGAACTATCTATACGTCCCTGAACAACGAACTGAAGAAGGTGGTCTCCATGGGCCGCCACACATCCGGAGGCTCCTCTCCCAACCTGGAAGATCTCCTGCCCCATTTGTCGGAGCAGCTGTGTCACTTCACGCAGGCCAGGATGGAGATAGCTGACTTCTACGAGAAGATGCATTCTCTGGGCAGCCAGAAGACTGTGAACTCTGAGGAGCTCGTGAGCACGCTGGAGAGCATTCTGCAGAAGTACAGTTCCAGGTGAGAAACAGGGGCGGCGCTGATGCTGTGTGTGCAAATGCTTCATTGAGTCGTTTTAGAATCATTACAAGTATTAAAAACAATGGCCATTTTGTATATTACTGAAATGGTCTACGAATGGTTTTAGATTATGAGGATCATTCTGTGTATGTGTGTGTGTGTTGCCAGGGTCTCTGTGTTGTTGTGTGTTATCCATGCCAGCAGAGGGAGCTGTGGCTCACCTTGCTCACATTTACCCTTTATTTATAAGCAAAACAAATGATTTTAACAATTTTTTTTACACCCAAAACACATGGAATAGAAAAAGTATGAAAGCCCATGTCCACCTCAGAGTAAACAAAAATAAAAGTAATTTAAAATGAGAATTCTTTTAAAATCTTTACTCAGAAATGGACTTGAACAGAAAATGGATTAAATTAATTAATGAGGTGCATTTAAATTAAATTAAGTTTTGTTTTAGATTATGAGGATCATTCTGTGTATGTGTGTGTTGCGAGGGTCTCTGTGTTGTTGTGTGTTATCCATGCCAGCAGAGGGAGCTGTGGCTCACCTTGCTCACATTTACCCTTTATTTATAAGCAAAACAAATGATTTTAACAATTTTTTTTACACCCAAAACACATGGAATAGAAAAAGTATGAAAGCCCATGTCCACCTCAGAGTAAACAAAAATAAAAGTAATTTAAAATGAGAATTCTTTTAAAATCTTTACTCAGAAATGGACTTGAACAGAAAATGGATTAAATTAATTAATGAGGTGCATTTAAATTAAATTAAGTTTTGATAAAGGCATCTGTATGTATATATAAGTATTTTATAAGTTTCATTTAAAGGATACAGCTTCACTATTATTAATTAAAATAATAATTATTAAACTAAAAATAATAAATACCATGAATTAATTATTAAATATATATGTTTAATTCGATTTTTTATTAATTACTCAGAAATGAGCTTAAACAAAAAATTACCAATAATTTCCTTATAAACAGATGGAGCTGCTGAAGGAAAATGTGCTACATTTAAAGGTGCATTTGATGTCTTTTTTTAAAGCATATGGCAAATAATATATATATATTATATTATATTATATTATATATTAAATGTAGCACATATATATATATTTATATATATATATATATATATTTTTTTTTAATATATCTTTTTTTTTTTACATTATATTAATATATAGTGACATAAATATAGCGATAGATACAAGTTTGAAAAATATTGTTCAAGCCCTTTCCAAAAAAATCTCTTCTCATTTGGTTTGAAAAAAAATCACAAGAAGTTTGAAAAAATCTGTTCTCGAAGCTCATTTGGATTTTACAAAATTATCTTTAAAATACAGTATCCTGAAAAAGGGACGCAAGTTGAAAAACGACTTAAATTGACCTTTAAATTACAAGGTTGTTCTAGCAGAAATCATGTTATAGTGTGAGGACAAGTGATGTATGATAAAGCAGTATGTGAGCCCAGCACCTGGTTAATGACATCTGAAGCCGAGCGCTCCCACTGACTGCTCAAGGTGAACTCTGCTCTTCTCTAAATGAAGAGAGAGAGAGATGGAAGGAAGGAAGGAAGGAAGGAAGGATGCCAAATGTTGAGTCATCGCTGGAGTAGAAGAGACGAGATCTCACAAATGTTATCTGATCAATTAATCAGTCAGCCAAGTGCTTAGCAGAGATTCGGCTCTTGCCAGCAGTGTGACGCTACAGAGGGTCTGCAGAGGCTGACCTTGAGAAATCAGCTGTGAACTCGATTAAATGTCTGCTGGCCTACAGAGAAAATGCGATTTAAATGTCAATCTTTGTGTTGCAAAAACTGGTAAAACAGTTGGCTGGTAAAACAGATAGTCCCGCCCGAAACTCTCATTATTGGTTGGCATGTTGGGCTGGTCAGGACGTTCTCACAGTAACAGGATTTACAAATGGC